CAAAAAGAAAGGGGCCGCTAGTGCACACCAAAAGATGCAAACCGCCAACCCCCTCCCAAGATCCAACTACGAGCTTTTTAACTACAACAACTTAAATATACGCTATTGGAGCTGGAATTAACACGGCTGCTGGCACCAGACTTGCCCTCCAATGAATACTCATTAGATTGTACTCATTTCAATTACCAGACTTGTAAAAGCCCAATATTGTTATTTATTGTCACTACCTCCCCGTGTCGGGATTGAATAATCTGTGCACATGCTGCCTTCCTTGGATGTGATAGCCGTTTCTCAGGCTTCCTCTCCGGAAGTGAACCCTAATTCTCAATCACCCGTTACCATCACGGTAGGCCTCTATCCTACCGTCGAAAGTTGATAGGGCAGAAATTTGAATGAAACATCTCTAGCGCTAAAGCCGTGCGATTCATCCAGTTATCATGATTCACCAAAACACCGGAGCAAGCCCTGCATTGGTCTTTTATCTAATAAATACATCCCTTCTAGGAAAACTCCCATATCATCGGAAAACAAGGAGTGATGAAGAAAATTGAATCACCAACTTTGAAACCTTTGAATTACCCAAGTTGGAAGTTGTGCTTCATCTCAGTCATAAGTGGTTAAGTGGCAAATGCAAACATGAGAAGAGCAAGAGGGCAATTCTATCAAACTACTCTTTTGACCAAAAACGTGAAAGTTTTTGCCCAATTTAGATGCACAGCAATAGAGGCTCCAAGCGTGAGATCCTTCACCACTTTGGTGAAATCTTCACCTAGCCCACACTTACCTATGATATCCTAGAGGTACGCATGCTTAACCCTATCATAAGCTTTTCCAAATCTAGTTTCACAAACATGATTCTGCATTTGATGATCTGCATCTTGAGCCGATTAAAGGATGATAATGTTGTCCATCATATTTTTTCCCCTAATGAAAACAATTTGGTGCAAAAGAATGAGAGAGTACAAGAGAGCTGCAAACGGCTAGCAAGAAGCTTGGTAATGACCGTGTAATTAGTGTTAAGCATAATCAAGGGTCGTCAATCCATAAGTTTAGATTTGTTCACGGATTTAGGAATGAGTCTAATCATCCCTTCAGTAACCGTTTCAGCCAGCACTCCATCCTCCCAAAACATTTACACCATCGCAACATAGAAATGTTTTTCGTAACGTTTTAGCAGAAATTCCATCAACACCTGGAGCTTTGTTAGAGGGAAGATTAAACAAGACCTGTTCAATTCTTGCCAACGTAGTAGTAGCTGCCATCATGGAGCATTCAGCACCTAAAAGTTTATCCTCAACATGTATCATAAGCTCTATACGTGTTGTCAAGTCTTGTCCGGTGCAAACTTGAGAAGAGTAGAGGTCTGCATAGTATTTTCCAATTGCGCACAAATTTGCTCCTGATCCCGAGTTTCTACTCCGGATGGGAGCTTGAGCTGCAAGATTTGAGCCCTTATTATGTTCCACTTATGTATGTTAAAAAAATATTTTGTAGGGACATCTCCTAAGCCAAGGTGCTTGACTCTAGACCACAACCTTATCTCAACATCTCTCTCATATTTTCTGATCCTTTTCTCCGTTACGAGCCAATCTCGACAACAAAGTTATTTGCGAGTTTACTCTTCTAGTTGATGTTTGTGTAGATCAACAATCTCCTATTGAAGCGCTCGGATGTCTGAGAGTCAAGCTTTATGTTACTACTGCTCGGCACGCAGCATCTTCCTTACCAGATACACATCATGGTAATGATGTTTGCATCATTTGAGAACCTTGAGATTGATGAGCATTGGGATACGTTGCGGTATGCAACCATCTGGGGAGGAGATTATAGACCTGCGATTTGTAGATTCCATGTGGAAAACTATGTCAATTTACAGTAGACTACACCAACTACATTGAATGTGACGGTGGGATGCACTATCTCGCGAGTGCGGGAGGTGTTATCTTCTGAAGTTCTCATGTTAGAGGATTGTGACGATGTTGTTTGGAGTGATCATGTCAATTGTGCGCCATGACACCTCCCAAACGTCGATGATACTATGGATCCAAGCTTGGCAATAGTACGTGCCGACTTGTGTTTCACGTTATGTGGGTCAACTGATCAGCCGGCCCATATGTTAATGTGTGATAGGTATTCTAGGGGATGGTTTATGTCTAGTCTGACTCCACATATCGATGTTATTCCTATTGTACAATAGTTTTGTCCTTGATGTACTTCTGAGGAGTAGATGACTTGATCTTCACATGTTATGAATTGCAGATATGCGACTAGCAAAGAGGCGACATAGCACTTGACCTACTGATTCGCGCACCCGTGAAGATGTATAGCATGTAGTTGTAGATAAGGCTAACTGTGGGTCAGAGGTACCTGACCGCCAGCTAGGAGGGCGAGTTGTGATATCTTTGTGTGTGTACGCTCTTGTTTCTTATGTGTGTGTGAGTATAGTATGTCAACGATGTAGAGTGTATGTCCATGCCTATTTGCACAACACATGTAAAATCAATATTTGTGTGGAAACTAGTTTACGAGGTATACGAGGAATCTATAAATAATTTAAGAATAGCAAGTGAGAATTTTATATATGGTGTTTGTAGATATTACACATCAAAAAGTAATTGAGAAACTATCATACATCTTCCATTTGTGACAAATGCAGCGATAAGTAGATAAGTGTGCATAAAGCTTCTGCTCCTAGATTTGAAGTTCTATGAAGCTATGCATGTAAATTTTGACATGTTCATGGGCGAGTATATTAAACTTTATCATTCTTTGAGAATACGTACATAACTTCTTCTTTTTTATATTGTATAGCTTACTTAAGTAATGTTTTTCCATAGATATCTAGTGCTCACTTGCAAGAAATATTCAGCTAAGGGTAATCTCATTGAATGATCATAGTGGCATCAAATGGGCACTAATCTACAATGACTATTGATGGAGTTATTTTACATATTTTACATGTAGTAAAAATTTTTTCTCATCACTATAATTCCGAGATTGTAGGTTAATGTTTGTTGTATCCTTTTTATTGTTTGTTATAGCCTTACAATCAAAACTATTGTAATTTTTTTAAAATCATTAAATTTTTCAAAATATACCAATCCTAAATACTTCAAATTTTACTAAATCTTAATACTGAAAAACACATGTGTACAATACCAGGGTCATATTTTTTGGATAATATGACCCTGAAAATAAAAATGGTGTGACAACAAAAAATAAATTAAATTTGTTTTGAAAATGTAAGCTTTCAAAAAAATTTGAGATTTTCTAAAAAATATTATAAATAAATTTGAGGTAAGTTCATCAATCCTTCATAAATTGATTGAAATCTTTCACAAAGTCAATTTGAACGCCGTTTTGCAAACCTGGAAACCTCTAAACCAACATTTGCATTACTATCTTTCGATGTGTTTTTTAATGTGATACCAAATGTTCAGAAATTGAAAAATCATCCATCTGCCGTTAAACAGTTTGACAGCATTCAAAGGCTTGATGACAATTTTTAATAATGCAAGACATGTTTCTGGAGCTTTACTTTTTCTAATTTTCGACTTTAAAGTTTGAACAATATTACTTCAAGCATTCGATAATATCTTAAACTGTAGTCAATTCCACAGAACACACTACACAATATGTGATTTACATTTTCGATTTACGCCAAAGATTATGTTCCATATATCTTTCTCTTTTTGAAAACTTGCGTAATTCATTTTTTGGAAATGATGAAAACCTTAACAATCCTGGTGTAAGGAAAAAATCCTCAAATGTTAGATAATGTCAGAATATGCATTCTCAGCCTGACCGTTGCCCATGTATTCAAAGCACTTTATTCGACTTAACGGAAGTATCTCACAAAGTTACCAGCTTGTTCGATTGGTCTATAAGCTCTAAAACATCCGTAGCACTGCATCTACAACCCGAAGATTATCGTTAGAGCGTAAGCATTGAACTTCCACCGTCCATAATTTTGGTGAAATAACTCTGGAACCATCTTATCAACCACGATTGTTCTGATTCCGGCTATTAATATTCCGGATGGCTACTCACTTCTATCATTAGAATTATGTTTGGAAGCACGGAGATTTAGCATTGAGAAAAATAAGACCAATAGTCAAATCATTCGCAGACAGAGAGGGTATTTTGTTAAAACACTGTACATCGTAACAAGCTGAAGAAGGGCAGGTACACTGGTGACGATGCTAGTAATGACGTGAGAATCACAGGCGAACACGAGCGATGAGGTTACAAATAATAAGGTACCATCTTCAAACGAGTTTAGGCTCTACATTGAAAGAAAAGCGGTGATTTTGTCTCCGATGAACAGCCTGAAGTGTCAGCTGAATCACTGCAAAGGGACTGAACGAACGATTGGTGCTCCAACTCCTCAGTTCCAGCTCAAGTGGTACTAGAGCCCTGAAACACTTGAAAACTACAAAAATTCTCCCTTTGCTTGCGTAACTTGTAAGCATGTAATTTCACCGGAAAAATTACAGAACAATTGATAAAAAATTTAACTTCAGATCAAACTCGGAATATGCTTCAGTTTGAAGGCCTCATAAACGTTTCACGGTAACATTACTTAGTAAGTCCTGTAGGGACGTTGGGCGCGGATGTATGGGCTATCAGTGTCTCCCAGAGTTAAGGGTGACAGAACAGTGAAAGCCCTCAGCCAAAAGCTGTGCTGCCCCTCGGGTGATGATAACAGCAATTTGATGAGGTGCAAGTGACTTACTCCCTAGCTCGTTGATGATAAATTTGGAGTACAAGACCAGAACTCTACGCCTATGTTTCCTTGCCCAGTATTGAGAAGTAGACGTTCGGAAAGCGAGACCCACTTAAGGCTAGTGATGCGTTTGTGAACTTCACAATCCACTTGATCATAGATAACTTCCATCTACTGCAAAACTAACAATCTTACATGGGCGTTACTTGTATCTAGGATTAAGGAAAATCATGGACGTATCAAGTGCACCTTAGGTAATGGAGTGGTGTACTGCAAATCAATCCCTTATCAGTACGAGAAGAAGATTGTCCACACCTGTTATTGTGAATATTATTCAGGGCTTCAGTGGAAGGTATTATATATACAAGTCATGTACTGTCCAACTCAATCTACGGGGATACCAAGACTGGTAGAGAGGAATAATGCATTGTATAAATAATCGGACTTTAAGATCACCACCTTCGAGTTCTACTATCACCTTTCTAAACGGACTTCAACTTCAAATGAGACTCGAGTATGTGAACATAAGAAATCCCACCGACCGTGATCTCGAGGTGAGAGTCAATAAATTAGATCAAACTTCAGGATCCGCCCCGATTAGGAGACCATGTAGCTTAAAAGGCTGCTCTCTTACAAGGACAAGCAGAGAGAAGGCCGAGCAGCACAAACCTCTTGTGGGTCTCGAAGCTTCAACCTTGTAAATGGCGACGTTGTGTGTCTCTCAGCATGAGCTCCATCTTTAATCGGTCGTCGGATTTCGAGGAAGGGCGACCCTTTGTTCTGCATGTCTCTTGACCGACTGCAATAATCCTTCGCAGATTGGTGTGCAGTGGTGGTGTTCTGGAGCACGGCGCAGGGTTTGATCGATGAGGATGCAGATTCCTGTGCTGAACGAGATTCCGTTGATGGACTGACGTTCAACACAAAAATAAGACGAACTATGTCGGAGAGGACCGTATATTGCGCAGCTGATGATGGAAGTGTGATTCGTTAGTGAGAAACACGCAAGGAGTCTAAATGATCGTCGGCAATTCTCCCACCGTTCGGAGCTCAAAGTCTCTCACTTGCGCGGCCAATGGCACCATCGTGTCGTCGAATTCATGCACCACATTATCCAGCCTGGTGGCATTGCGTATGGATGGGTCCACGAACTGCTCGCATACCTCCTGACGGTGATTTATAGTGTTGTGGTAGTGATAGTAGTGCAATCTCCAGTCCTCGTACAACGTCGCGTTCTCCAACTTCAAGCCTTGTTCTGAATACATCAAATCTTCCGATCGGTGTACCCCCGTCGACAACGCGTATCTCGCTTGTATGGCGAACTTCTTGTCCATAAATCCATTTGTCTCCGTGATCTGCGTGCGCCTGTACGTCAACTTCTCCATCGCCCACAGGCTGTCAAACGAAAAACGCAACGAGCCAACAAATTACTCCAAACTTCCAACTTCGACCTCCAGGGAAGAAAACAGATCAACAAAGTCCAACCTCAGCACTCTCCACAATACATTCGAAGAGATCAAATTTTCCCAAACAAATTTTCCCAAACATGACTTCAGCTTCAACACAACTGCCTCCTTTCTATCGCTGTTCATAATTTCTCGGCGACGCATGAAGAGGATGCGATGTGTTTACTGTGTTAGACTTCCTGTGCCTACTGTCGTGAAGGTGCACCTGCCTGACAAGGCAGAGAAAAGGACATCGGGCTTACCTGGACATATTTCCATCTGAGCTGGAGGAAACGTTGCCGGCGCAGTGGTTGTGGGAGATGGGTTTCTGCGCGAAAACGACCTGCGTGGCTCTGCGGCCGAGAGTCCGGAGCTCCGTCATGACGGCGTCGAAGGTCATGTACCAGGGCACGTGGAGGAACTCGTCCACGTCGAAGAAGAAAGTCCAGTTGGCCAGAGCTTTGGCGCGGAAGAGGCAGTCGTTGACGACCAGGAACTGGTTGTAGTAGTAAGTGTCGTAGCGCATCTGCTGCCGAATATTCATCACGGTCACTCGGCCCAGCTTGACCCAGGGCTCCAGAATCCGGCGCACCTCGTCGTGGATGCCGCCGGCGTCGTACAGGATGAAATGCGACCGCGGCCCGAAGAGCATCGCGTGGTACGAAATCCACTCGCGCATCCGCTGAGGGCTGATCGAGCCGAACAGAGGCGACCCGCAGTACAGGTACTCGTACCGATACGGGGGCTGGAATGCAGCCCCGTCGACCTCGCCCGGCTGCTCCGTCAGCGCTTCGAATGCCACGTCCTCCAGCCCCGTGCTGTCCCAGCTCCCGTGCGTGGCCACCATGGCCAAGCGGCCTCCGCTTCCGTCGGCTCCCACGTCGGACGGGAATGTGCAGTTCACTACCACCACGGTGTACTGCTTCCCGTAGCCCCAGTCGGGCAAGTACTTGGTGGCATTGCCCGGGATTGTGATCGAGGCATCGGAGGATTCCCAGCTGCATTGGAATTCCGGATTGCCGTGGACGTGGAGGCCCTTCGGTCCGAGGCCCACCACGGCGAACGAGTTCCGGCCGCCTCTGTAAGCTCCGAACTGCACGAAGAGGAACGCGGCGCTGCCCAGCGGGACGAACTTCCTCGGCACGCCGTAGCTGGCCTCGTGCAATTTCTCCCATTCCTTTCCCTCGACGACTGCCGGTGTCTCCCACTCTCGGAGGATGTGCGGTTTTCCGGTGGAACGTGGATCTGGAGGGAATTCGGACTTTGTGCAGCAGTTGGATGGCCTCGAAATCGCCTGCTGCTGCTCAGCACGAGAAGTGCTGAGGCCGATGGTTGTCAGCATTTGCCTCAGGTGCTCTTGCTTTTCATGCTCCAGCTGAATGCTCCACTGCAGCTGCGCCTCGCAGTCGCAGTGGCTACTGGAGAGCTCGAAGGATCCTAGACCTTCGAAGGGATAATAGAGAGTGGTCACCACTATTGCAGCTACTGCCAAAACCGTGCACATTCCCATCAGCGCTCTCATTTCTAACCATCCAGCCTTCAGCTTACTCTGAGACCAGGATGGCCCAGGACCGAAACTGCCTTTACCCATCTGCAGCGGCCAGCCCTCGCCTCCACTGCTGATCAATCCGAGTCCCCGAATTCGTGAATTGTCGAGCTTCACTCCTCAGAAAGTCTTCTGTGTCCACGTCCACTCCGCTGTAACTCCATCGACCATAAATGCCGTCACAGATCGATCTCTCTCTCTCTCTCTCTCTCTCTCTCTCTTTGCTCGAGGTAGGATGCTTATCACTTCACAGCACTCCCGAGGCCATATAAATATACCGCTAGGCAAAGCAACACGCAGATGAAATCCGAGAAGAACCGAGACCTTTCAGGTTCCAGTGGTGGCGGCAAGCAGTCTCGACCGCATGAGTTATAAGAGAATCAGTAGAAGCATGCAGCAGTTCCCAGAAGCAGCAAGGCACGACAAAGCTCTTTCTGCTAAGTCGGATGCGAATCTTTGTCGACCGTGGGTAGAGTGAAGACAAGTACCACGTCGAGCCTCCAAAGTCCAAAGTCCCGATCGGCCCAACAAATTCGCCACGTGATTATTGCCCAGCAGCGAGCAAGTCTCTCTCTCTCTGCACAAAGTTAAGAGTGGGGTTCTGCTACGCACTGGACTAAGACTACACTTGTACGTGGCTCATAAATTACACGTATGGAGGGGAGTATGGAGGAGAGCTAGATGTGGTCACCTGCCCCGACTTGCCCGGGCATCTAGGGGATCCAGGGCGCTAGATGTAGCGCCTGCCCTGATTGGCCCGGGCAACAGCTGAGTGTCGTAAAGGTCCACCACCAAACTCCCCTCACCCGTCAGGTAAGCAGACAAAACCCCGTCCCACATGTCCGGCGAATCCACCATTGAATCCATCACCAGTTCTCCCTGCGTCCTGCAGCCGCCGTGTGGGAAGCTGCAGCTGCCTCGGTCGCCATTGCAGTTGGTCCTTTGTGAATACAGCAGGAATAGTATGAAGCATCTGCAGCACCAGCTGACCCTTTCGCCTCCGATCACAGGCCTCACCAGCTCTGTCTGGATGGAGCCTGGAACTCAGCTATGTTTGTGAGCAGGCAACGACTTTCCGACTACCAGCCTGGTTTGACTTAAACACTCGTCCTCAAGGTTTCATTCACCGTAGCCACCGCGATTCGAAAGAAAAGACCAGAGGCCAAGTCTGTCCCACCTGGTCGGCGTACAATTGTCCTCGTTTCGTCTCTAAATTTGTTTTCTCCGGAAATTCTGGCTTTCCCGCTAGGCCTAGTTCTTCTAATCATTGGCTTAGAATCAATTGTTACACTTGTATTTGGGTGTGTAAAGCACAACAATTTCTCGCGGACTAGAGTGCTTGCTCGTTCTTCGTCGGAACTACGTGGTCAAAGGGGACGATGTTCATCCTGTGAAACGCGCTTCGACGCTCCTTGTGACTTTCACACCGAATGTTCTTCATCGATCCCTCTTTCCAGTATGATGCTCAAAGATTATAACCGACTGTTACTAGTATCGTCATCAAGAGAGAGGGTATGAGAAATACCCATATATGAGAAATTTGCCATTCCGAGGCTGACCAAATATGATCAAGGAAGGGCCATCACGAGTTGAGGGTATGAATATATTGCTGGACCAGAGCTATGGGAATGAGTTCCGATAGCAGTGACCACTTGAGTGACAGCACTTTCTGTCTGATTTCAGAACGCAGTGGACTATAGCATGCAAACGCAATTGCATTTATTATGTCCTCGGTGCAGCGTTAGCATGTCGAGGCTTGACTTGCATTGATTTCATTAATTTTTGTAATAAGGTACACGGGCTTTGTCTCTACTTCTGTACTAGAAGCATGCTTCGCTTGCTTACCACAGCTGGTTTCAAAGACAGAAGCGACCTTGAGTAAGACTTTCTGATGAAGAATCAGTAAGAGAACGTAACCTGGAATACGTCAAAATTCCAGCGATGACCCTACAACCATGTCGATGCCAGGATCTGATCGCATTTCTATATAGGCATGTAAATAAACAGTTTCCATAGCGGCAGAGATACCTATTGTCCTCCGCACTTTGCTGTGAATTCGGATGAGCTCTTCCAGACCTAGTAGGAACCAGATTCGGAGAAACGAAAACCAGGGAGGCATAGAATCGTCCAAGACCTATGGAAAGCCGTGGGCAAAAGTACTCAGCGGGGTCCAGCCAAGGATATTCTAGTCGCTGTATCATATATTACCAGTCATGATACAGTTCGGTTTATTCCTTGTGCGGCAGGATTGGGTATTCCTTATCCTTTTTATTGTCCACTTGGCCGTCACTGCAAGCAAGGGGAGAATAAAACTGCTGACAAGTGGATACGGGGAAAAAAGAAGAAACGTTGGGAAGACGTTGTTCTTTCAATGCAAACATCCTTACTACGTCAAATGATCATGCAAGCGGTAAATCAGTGCAAACATCGGATGAAATTTGTTATACATCTACTCCATAGATTAGACAAACAGTTTCGAAAGACTGTTATCTTGCTCGTAGATAATGTCTATTATATGCATCACTTTCACATAAAAATATTTCAAGGCATAACTTGTCATTAAGTGTCACAAATGTACCACAATTATGTTTTCCAAACGTCCTCATTTATTTATACTACCAGTCATATCATTAAAGAATAAAATTTTACCCAAACATACTTGTGCTCCAAATTATACGTTCAATGTATCATTCACCAATATTTATCACTTAAAAAACTTTTAAATCTCCAACTTTGAAAATTTAAATGTTCCACCTAGAGGTCAAGCTCTAACCCTGACCTCTAGGTGTCATGAAATTAACTAACCTTAACATCACCTCTATAGTAGTGCCCCATATGGTCTTTATTCCAAGTTCATCTCATGAGAACAAACATCTATCTAAGCATGGGTGCCGGTACATATGTAAAGACATATTTCATTCAACATGGCATATCGTACAGGGGGCTCTTTAGTGGTACGTGATTTACTAAGTCCGTGGCCGTATAGGTACTTCAAATCAGCAACTATATAAATGGTAGACATATTAGCCACTATGACATGTTGCATTCTTCAGCAGGGACTAGATCATGCGAGACTCGCTTGGATTTACATCGACGGTAGTTAGAATCCTTCAGCATTTGAAGTTGCTATTTCGTTTTTTAAATTATATACACCAATAAAGACCACAGTCCAATCTCTGCATTCATAGTTCTTATGATTCAGAGGCGGAGAGGGAGAGAGAGTACGAGGAAGATCGGTAGGAAGCTCGATGGCAAATCACAAGCCGCCACGCCATGTGAGTGGCCGGAGGAATGTTCCCCGTTGTTTAGACCGTGGGAAGCATGCCCTGTCTGCTATTCTTAGGCGTCGAGTCGCATACATGGAAGTACAGCAAGATGGAATCGACAGCCGTGTAAGCTGAAATATCCGAGAACACACACCTGTGATGCAGTTGCTGAGGTCAGGTCGGGTGCATTTTGGCGTACCAGTCGAAAGACGATTGGAAATTGCCTGGTGGAGTACGTTCAAGGTCAAGAAAAGCCAGACACTAAAGGCCTTTGATGCCAGGGCTGTCTCTGAGTTTAGCGCTGGCTAAACTCATGGAAGTCTCCTGAATGGTGCATGCTGATTGCGTTGCCGGGCGACCATCCACATCTCATGAACTTACAGCAAGGCAAACGCTACACTGCAAGTTAATGAGAATTGGAAGTAAGAACTTCTTTTGGATAAAAGTTGGGTTGAATCGCTTACAAAGCACAGATCGCAGGTATAGATCTTGTGAACGCGTGTTCAGAGTAGTAGATGAAAGTGCCAACAAAGGACTTACATGGCAATTTCCTGGTGGGTGGAGATGAAGTAGTTGAGGCTTTCCTGCTCTCTTGCTTCTGCAAAACGAGAAGGAAGGCCCCACCAAAGAGATCAATTCTGGTGAGGCTAATATGGATCGTTCACGGTCCCCTCTCTTAACAGTTTCCTCCATTTCGTCTCTTCTTACGAACCGATGCCTTCCTTCCTTCCTTCCTTCCTTCCCTCCCTCCATTGAATAGCTTGAAAGTTAAGTCTCGATGTTTATCCTCGATTCCTGATTGTCTAATACTCGTTCTAGAGACGGGACTTTATCTTGTTCCTCTCGCTCCTCGAGGTTCAGCCGTGTTTGCGTGGAATTTCATTTACGTGGATTCCATGCCGAGGCTGGATTGAGAATTTCACAAGAATCTTTCTGTAAAATAGGGATTTCTCATTTCCAGACCAGGGAGGAATTGAGAAGTAGTTTACTTTGTACAGACGGAGCATTTGGCCTCGAATATGTGAGGAATGTCATGGGCTGTCCACTCTTTGCAATCGTAGCTGTCGTCGAAGTTTTTCGCAACTGTGCGGAATTTGGTGACAAGTTTCGAAGGACGCACTTCTTGGAGGGCGACACGAGCAGTCGGGCACAAAGAGCGATCATGCACTCGCAAGCATGAGCGTTCAGCAAAGGAGGAGTTGTATGCAGAGGAAGAGGGCCTTTAAAAATCGGATCATTGTCCAACGACGAACATATGAAACAGGCACTGCGCATGCATGCCTACGAAGAATCGTTCCTTGCATTGCCGTGCAAGGAACGATTCTTCGTGATATCGTAGCAGGTTCCAGATGTCGCAGGTTCGCTGACAGGTATTCCGCTTAAGGCTTCTCATGTCACTGCAGCAAGATGTCGTCAGATCGTATGCGAGAGGTCCTTGGCTTTTTCGCCTTCAGCCGATCATAGAATACCAGCATGTTTTTAACAATTTGACTTCAAGGCGCATCGGTTCCAGCAACACATTTTCAGATCTCTCTCTCTCACAAACAAATTTGCCCACGGCAGCAGAAGCATTACGACGAAGCTGCTATTTGTGGCATGTTTCGGTCTTCAGTATTTTCTTTGCCCTTTATAGCTTGGCCGCCCTAGGGCCAGAGCTTGTCAAGTTGCTCAGATAAATTGGCCTTCAGCTATAGTCGGGGCTAGAGTGATAAGAATTGCCGATGGATATTAAATAACAATTGTCTAAGTTGTCGACGTCTACTCTAGGAATCAGTGTTTTAGCTTCCGTGGTCACTTTCTGCTTTCAGGATATGGCTACTTCGGGAGCGTAGATGACTGTCAACCTGAAACACGGATGTTAAAACTAAAGCAAAAATGAAAAACATGGCTCTCCACCTCCCGAGCTTCTCGTAAAACAAGGTTCAGTTGATGACAGTACTTCAATGACTCCTTAAAAAAAGATGTCCTTAAGTAACATATATACTACTAGTGGATCGCCTCATGGAAGAAATATATTCTGATCATATTCACTTTAGCCGATCCGAGATCATGTTGACAATAACTAGTACTGCTACCGCAGGTCGTCCAGGCTGTCGATGCTCACAGGATGCATGACTCCTTAGTTGTTCATGCATCAACCACGAATGGACAGTTGCTGTAAATCCAAGACCAAAAATTCTGTATCGGATATTACTCGATCAGAAGCATGTTCTCAACAGGACATCTTGAAATCCCTTCGACAGACCGTATCGTCTTCTAACAGACCACCAACTATTAACGATCATTTTCCTCATGAGTTCGTGCCACATCCAGAATAGGTTTATCGACTTGACACTCATGAGAACCAGACTCGGACGACTGAGTGTTACTGAAGAAGCTTGACCTCTACCTTACGATGCTGTGTCGATCGGTGTTACATACGAGAAGTTGGAGGTGACTTCCAGGTCCTCCAATCTGGTGGCTCTTAAACACGATGAAAGCAGAATTCAATTTTCAGTTTTATTCGTTATCACTCGAAAGGAGACGGCTCAGAAGTCAACAATTCCTCAGTGTACGATCGATCTTAAACTAGTCCGTTCAAATATTATGGACTGAGGCTGAGCTCGTTGGACCGGTATATACACACCACCTTCCCCACCTCAACTGAATCCTGAAACTGACTAAACTACAGCGTGTACGGGAAAAGAAAAAGCCAGCTTTCCTGTTTCAAAGGCAGAGGATCCGAAGCAGAGAGGAAGAGGTCAAGAGATTCGTCATAGTTGAAGCGAGTGCTTCAGGTACGCTCACAGGTTTGATGGTCAGGTGCACTTACGCACGAAGGAGTTCGAGAGTCTCCGCCTCCTCAAAATCGAAGACTTCTTGCGGAGTAAATTCTCAGTAGTGCTCTGCAGAAGTTTTCTTCTGGGTCTGTAATATGCTCGCGTAGAAGGACGTGGCCTCACGCGGGAACCGAAAATGTGAGATGGGCCCACAAGTTTGACTGCGTCTGCATCTGTGCTGGGCTGCTTCGTTCCACCCTTGATGCATCCGTCTCCCAGTGATTATCACCCACTTTTCCCACGTTGGGGCCAACACTCCTTAGGCTCTTTGGTTCCCTGATACTTCTAATCACGAACCCTGCAGTGGATACACACTCCGTGAGACCGAACATGTGAAGAGAAGGATTTTGTCAAGTAAAAAGAACGCTATCTCCTGTAAATGAATCAAACACGAGCCGGTGGAACGATATCTGTCCTTTCGAGCAAACAAATCTCACGGACAAACGGAATCTTACAAATTCACCAAATTCCTTGGTGAATTTGGCCTTGCAGGAGCTTCAGCAGGGGGGAGACCTCGTTCCCTGCCAGCACCCAGATTCAGCTGTTCGCTCCGACCTTTGAGGAACTCAGATTCAGCTGGAAGTGTCTAGAACTCAGCATAGCAGAGGATATACATGCGTTCGAGAGGTCGGTGAAGAGTTCTCTCTCTGCAACTGCAAAAGGCTTATAATCGTGGAGTGCTGCATGCAACTGGTGGTGACATACAGGCAGACCTTGGTACCATGACACCCCGAGTGAAAAGCTCCTCATGGTCGATAATTTAATTTAGAAATTATAGGCTGTCACGGTATCGATGGTCTCTGGATGCTCCAAAATACTTCCAAGTTTTACTTCTCCAGTGGCAGTTCAAGCAGTCGCAAATCGCCTGCATTTAGCCAGCGGAGCAACGTGATGAGCAGCAACGAGAAAGACACGTTTCTCGGTTGTTTCTTGAGAGGCTGCGGGAACAGAGTGGATTCGGGTTATGTCCCTCGAAGAAGATTTTTCGCTCCAGAAGGTTATTAGACTTTGTCAAACAATGGATTTCCCTTGCTGTGGGTTGATAAGCATACGCCCAGGTCCCTCTCGGCTTTTCTGTGCCATCCCCAACAACCTCTGTATGTAAAGCAGTTGGAATGTGACTTCTTGTTCCTTCATTTCTTTGGTTCATTTCGTTGCCAGGATTAATTGAAAATCTTTACCTGAACTTCTCTCATAGTCAGCTCAGAGGTGATGTCCCTGATGCGCCTGATCACAGAAGCCTGCAATATTTTATGGGGCATGTTTAGAGTCCAGCCCCTAGCTCGTTGGAATTCGTAGTTTGAAAGTGAGGACCCAGAATATTTACCTCGGTTCTGTGAACATTCTTGACCCCTCAGTAGACAGCGAGTAAGCGCACATAGTCTAGTGATACATGTTCAATCTCATCTTGTATTCGCTGTTTCAAATTACATATACCATATCTTGTCTTGCCACTTTTCTAATCTCTGGATTACGTTCTTTGTGACAGATATCCCAGGGCAATGGCTCGCACCTTCAACTTCAAGGTCCTCTTTGGATTAGAAGGTGAAGTAGAAGGCACCGTTCATTCCTGAGCAGGAAAGAAGGCTCTCGTAGTAGCCATGTTGCACAAATATTCGGTGAGTGAGACAGACATGTTAGCAAAGCCGCTAGAGCATATGTATCTCTCGTCAATCCATGTTCATATCTGCCTATGCCAGAGTCTAAAACTACTGCACTGACATAGGTTGATCAAAACTGGACTCCATTCATTGTTTTCTAAACCTTTGTTTGCCCGCAGGCTATGTCCAACTGTAGGCCGTTTACCGTGCAAGTATGTACCTGTGTGTGCCTCTTTCTATTTAAATTTTTCGCTTTTCTGGAGGCCAGACGTCTACTTTTTTGCAGCTTGTCACGAACTACTCTGAGCTGTGGATATCTGACTCTATACTCGGGATGGTGCACATGCTAGATCTGCTGCTCCGCTGACCAACTGACGTCAACATTTCCTTAATATGCAGCTTATTTTGGTCCATTCGTTAAGACTTTTCCAGACCTAATGTGAAATTTGTTGTGTTGGAATCACGGAGCACCCACTTCCAAGATCAATGTTCCCATCAACACAAGCAAGTATCATGTTGATATCAATATGGGCAGCGTCAGTTCAAATGATAAGGATGTTCTTCGGACGATAATCAAGGAGTCAAACCTGAGTACGGAAAGGCTACTTTTTCACTTTATAGCAATCAAAGTGATGGACTCCGTGGAAAATGTGAGTGGAGTAAATTTTAGAAAGCTCTACGATTCTTTGACTGGCTGCGAATGTACAATTTGTGTGGATTTTATTTTCTGCTATAGCTCTTAGATATGGAACCGTTTGGAATACAAGTTTAAAGGATCGAACTGACTTTGATACTAAATTCTCAGATCAGCGCTTAGCTCCTTTAAAAGTTTAGCTAGGGTTAGTGCATTAACTATCAAGTTGATAGGCATTACCAGTGCACAAGGTGACCATAAATTCATTCCATCCTTTTTATCTACACTGGGGTCTTTCAATCCTTTTAATTCTTGTCCATGGTTTGGGGAGTTTGGTACATTCCATCCACCGAAATCCTCTGACCTCTAATAATCACCGTCTCGTATGTACCGGCTAGTCGAGACTCGTGCGAAGATGCAAAGCTTGATACTCGACAGCGTTCCACCCGTACTCATCCTCCATGTCAGTCACTGTCAGCCAAACCATCAGCCGTTATTCGAATGTACGTTTGTGTATGAGAATCAATATGTTGGGCTCCTTCATGCCAATGACATTTTACAGTTTTAATCAACACAAGATGCGGATGTCGTCAGGACCGAATGCTATAGACTAGCTTGAAGATGAACATCTAAGCTCACCTTGCTTCTTCTCATCTTATGGACGTTCATCAGATGGAGATATCATGTTTCTACACTAAAGAGCATTCGCCGAACAGAGGATTGGGTCTGAAAGAGTCGAGTATTAGCCGAACAATTTATTTGCCTCCTTCCCGGTAAGATGAGACAGGAGTGGTACGGTGCCCTTGCGCTTAACAGCACGAGGGTGTGGTTCCATGCAGCTTTTCTGGCGAAGTTCATGAGTACCTATAAAAGCCATCTCAACTTCAGACCCAGACTGTTATTTATGATCGAAAATGGATATTCCCCTCCCAAGTCTTACCTCCTTCGATCTATGTATAGATCAATCACAATCCTGCCTGTTCTCGGTCTGAAGTCTAAAAAACCCCACAGCCCTCTCTGCCCAGCTGGATGTTATGCTTGTTTGATGTTAGATGCTTGTTTAAAATGCAATCAACAATAAACTTGTAGATTGCTTTCTTTCGTGTACATGTTCGAGATTTGCCTTTTCAATCCATGTAAAAGAAATTGTCTAGAGGCATGTGGCCTGTACAAAGTACAGTAGATACCTTACCTAGCTTCGCAGCGTCCATCTGAGGCAATCACTTCCGGAACATTCCATTGGCAAGTTTCAGAAGTAGTGTGGATCTGACAATTATCGATCCCCCGGGATTGAACATAGATTCGTTGAATTCTTCTAAACTGATATTGCCGCAATCATAGTTGACTGCAAATATTATTTTGATGTACAGTGAGTGAGCGACATACATGACTTGTACATTCAATGACTGCAATTGTCCTTTGATGGTAATGAAGCTTGCCTGAACCGAGCATCGTATCAGCAATAGATAGACCTAGATTTGAATCTACCTGCATACTCTCCAAAATTCTGAACGCGTCATTCCACCTCAAGAGTGATGCATGCTGAACGTGACTGGTCTAGATTCAGCCAAGAGCCACAACATTACAGTCGTTGAGGTAAGTGACTGTAAACTTCAACCAGCAGTCCTCTGGGAGATACTCAACTTTCTAAGATTCGATCCTAAGAAACCCACGTCTGCACCAAATGTACACGAAGCTAAGAATCTGCGAAGATCTTGATTGCCTGTTTATCCGTAAGACTCGGAGGCAACAGATAAGTTCTAGGAGGGACCTTCTCTTTGAAATCGCTTGCAACTGAAAATTGTTGCCTTCGACAGAATTATGCTCCAGATGTCTTTGTTGATGACATCAACTTTTCACATCGATGGACAAGGTGACCATGATGAGAATTTTCTTAGTCAGGGTCGATGCATAAAAGGTAGCTGTCTAGCACAATGCACATCTAGACGTGTGGGTCAGATGCGGCGAGAACAAACTTCGATCATATGATTGTACGCGAGAAGGAGGAAGCAAGGATCAACATTACTGTAAAGTCGCGAAAGCCTGGCCACATTCAACCAAGATGAATCTACTGCCGTGAACAGGGAAAATGATCTGTCGACCAAGAATCCCAAACCTTTAAGAAACCTGTTCATCCAAATAAGGAGCTTACTGACTTTCCACTTGAAAAGTCTACAATCTTTCCTTCATTGATCGCCTCCAGGAATCGAAGTGTTTTACAAAGGCGTGATGTGAGAAGTCTCTGCGGCAAAAAGCTTGAAACAACAGCGCAATCAGCAATTCACGCGTCTATCGTTGTGGTTTTCAACTTTCAAGCAAATATGGACACTTATGTGGACACTACCAGTTGACTGTGCTATCAAGCAAGCTGGAGAGCTTCGGTGTAGTTTCATGTTTGTTTTCAAGTTGTTGTGCATCCGTTGTGAATTGTTTCTCATGATTTCACAAGTTTGCCGTTTGGAAGAAACTGAATAACGCCGACAGAACGAAACACAGGTGGAATTGTTAAACTTCTAACACCGTCTATGAGCTGTCTGAAGACTTCATGCATTCTCACGAGCTCAAGACGTTCCTACATGAGCATTGCCTTCGTCACCTTTATCGTTTCCTCTTCACGAGGGTTCTCGATTTTTTGTTACTAAAATAGCTAGCAGAAACAACTATGAGATGAGTTCCCCAACCAGCCTCTCCGTCACGAAAATGGATGGAAAATTGCAGACATGGATGTGACGGATAAGAGGGAACCAGTGTATCCGAGCGCCAAGTAGAAGACTGCTACGGATCAATCACTAGGAAAAATTGACAGTAATTGTCTCACTGACAGTAATCGTCCAGTATCTATCTGTGCGTATGCTCGAACAACGCACCTTAGATATACAACTAGAAAACTAAGACTCGGAGGCTGACACAGCGTTTCAGAACGGTGTTGCTCCACTAAGGCTAAGACTGTAAAACGTCCGCCCCAGCAGTATCCTTAATCCACAAGCCTAAATTACTTCACCCAATACGAAACTCCTAATTTCTTCATTTGGTAAGAACCGGCAGTTTAGGCATAGAGACTTCATTGACTTCGACAGTCTCTCCGCATCAAATACTTCTATGTACACATACCTGAGGTAGTAACTCTAAAACAGGTTATATGATGGCAACTAGAGCCCTCAAACCACAACAGCAGGAATGCATTCTTAAGCTTGGCTGATCCTTCGTACTGTTTGATGAGCTCATACAAATGCGAACTATATCAGAAGACTATAAAGAGTTACAAACTGTTTAATATATCTCGTACCACTTAAAAGTTTTGTAGATCCTTTCTTTCGAATCGTATATGTACTAATATCTACGAGTATTAAATCAACTATATAATATCTACAAACCGACGAAAGTTATGAAATTGTAAAAACTTAAGTAACTTCACCAGTCATGCCATAACCCAGTTTCATAACCTCTCGAGGCCTCACAGTGGAAGCTCTGAGCTGCGCAAGACAATTTGATTCAGAATTTTACGAATCACGTAGAAACTGTAGAAAATGGCTGATAGCATATCACATACCCTGTAATGTGCCACTACCTGCGGACCACACTAAACCAGAAATTTGAATTGGGACTTTCAAACAAGTTGTCAAGTGCCCTCAGTATGGGAGATGTAGAGCTTAAGAGGTTTAGAATCAGACGTTTCTCTTTTACGTCGCGGAAAGTAGAAAGTGGCTGAAAACATCTTAGAGGTTTCAAGGACCGAACCGACATGGAAAGGACCTCTGAAAAAACCTGAACTTTAGAAGATTAACAAGAACTCCCTCACTTTCCTTTTCCTGTATCAGGTGCTGCTTACATATCAAGCTTATAGGTACGGCTACAAGAGAACCACTTTTAATTCAAACTCAGACTTACCAAAGATCTTACGGAAGTCTTCGGACTTACAAATCTTCTATGCATCAAGGACACGACAGTAACAAAAGATGTCATCACCTCCCCCTCCGTTCTGCGAGACGATGTGCTTCGATGGCTCTAAATGTTTTCAAGTTAGAAATTGAGGCATGGAAAACTGCATTACAACCTTACTGGTTCCTGTATGAGTACCAACAAATGAAAGAAAGTTGCAACAAAACACAGTTAATTCGTTTCAAGCTCACAGATCAATCGCCCTGAACGATACAAAGCTTTGCTCTTAGGCAACCTGGGGATTTAATGTTCCTACCAGAGGGATACAACATTCCTACCGCACATGTCCTTCATGAGTCGGAAATGGGGAAATCGTACTCTATCGTTTGGAAATTGAGTGTGAAAGAGGAGGCTGTGAGCCATCACAAACAGGAACTACAACAAGATGCCTATCCTAAGTCCGCATTAAACGGCACTTGCTGGCGATCATTCGGCACTTTCTTCAGTCACATTCGCTAATTGGCGAAACGGGACGGACACCGGACCAGGTCGAGAATTCACCAAAGAAAACACACTGCATGATTATTTAAGATACTCAGTTTAAGATCTCTTGATACATTTATAACAGAAAGCCTCCATTCAAAAATAAAAAAATATACTGTAATTTTTTTACGCGAAAACCCTACACATGCATTCGGGAAGCTGGTACGTTGAATCTGCATGATGAACCCTAGCAGAGTTCGGCCAGCTTTCTCAACCCCCCATAAAGGGCAAAAAGCTTCTCTTCGCAGGTGCCTCTTCTATCAGCACCGCTTTCATGCTGTCCTGCTCGACAAGTCTCCAAGCTGCTTGCTCTAAAGCCAACCCAGCCAATGTAGGAGGCTTCTTCAGTACAAGGGGATAGCCCCGGTTTGTGCTCTTGATAACCTCAGAATCTTCAGGTATAACCCCGAGAAGGGGAAGCCCCAACATTTCCTGCACATCAAGCACGGACATCATGTCCTCTCCCTTGATCATATCACTCCGGACCCTATTCACCACCATTTTGATATCCTTAATACCATCGCATTCTAACAGACCCGTCACCCGATCAGCGTCACGGAGACTGGTAATATCCGGCGTGGTTACTAGGACGGCCTCGTTGGCAGGAGTGATCGCAGTGATAAACCCTGCATCGATTCCGGCGGGGCAATCGATGAGGATAAAATCAGGGGAACCCTCGGGTCTCTTTTTTAGCGCATCCACCAGCCAGGTCAGAGCTTTCCCTCCAAAACCAAGGGGCATTTTGTATCGTGGTTTGTTGATGCACAAAAGCTCGAAATTAGTCCATCTCTTGTCCCTGATGAGAGCCTGATCAAGACGACACTCTCCATTCAAAACTTCCATAGCTGTGTAGTTTACCCTATTCTCCAAACCAAGAAGCAAGTCCAGATTCCTCAAACCCACATCTGCGTCTATGGCCACAACTTTGAAGTTCAAACGAGCCAAGCACATTCCCAGGTTGGCCGTCGTGGTAGTCTTTCCCACCCCTCCCTTTCCAGAAGTGATCACGACGACCCGTGGAGGCACTCCTGAATAAACCGGCCTGCGGTTCCATTGCAAAATGGCCTGAGGGGTGAATCTACTGCTACTCCTGCTATACTCCTCCTTCGTGCTCGTTCTTTCGTGCCCCAGCCTCCTTAGCCATCGCCGCCTACTCTCCTTGACTCCAAGGCTTCCCAGTCTATGCTGCTGCTTGCTCCTTTCATACCCTGTTTTAGGAAACAAAGCTTCTCCGACCTCCCCACACAATCTGCCCTGTTCCAGCTGAGCAGCTGATCCAGAGCTCGTCGTCCCTGCAGAGAAATCCCTCTGCCACCTCGCCTCTCTACTCCATCCACCGCTGACTCCTGCAACCACATTGCATGACTGACAGCCCTGAGACAAACGGCCACTCCCACTGCTGCTCAAGCACCGACCTGCAGACCTGCAAGGAGCCTCTCCGACGGCCAACGCCGACGACGACCACGACGAGGACGGAGGAGAAGCAGAAGAAGACGAAGACAACGACGAATGCCAAGAGCTCCCACCCACACAGACCAAATTCGCAGAACTTGGGGATGCGATGGACCACATTGCTTACTTCTCAAAGGCTCCCCCGCCTTCGAATCTGCGCCCAAAATTTCCCCGCGATTCCGCACTACCTACTCATTAGAGAAGATAATCGGAGATGCAGTTTCTTGCACCATTCATGATCCCAAACCTGGTCACGGCCCGGAATCAAGAACGAGGGAGAGGGATCACCACCAAGATGGACTAAGACCGTGGCCAGCCTCGCGAAGAAAAGGGCGGGTCGCACCAACTCGGAGCTCGAAGCGCACGCCTCTCGAGTCCGCACTCTCTCGCTCGGGACAGATGAGGCTGCCGAAGGAGCTCGATCGCCTGCAAGGCAGATAGCACGCTGCCTGCCCGCCCCTCTGACCTGCCACAGCCGGTTCCCATGGCCGACTTTGTTGGAACACGTACGTTGCTGCCCGGGCTCTACCACGTCCAGACTCGAGACGCTGCACATGCTCCGGATTTCGCCTGTCAGAATATAATTGCCAGACTTGTCGAGGCTATCGGAATACTACAGGTCCTGGTTTTCCATAGGAACGATTTGCCCAACCGATTTGTGAATTTTCCATCCTCTGTAATCCATGAACGGTAGAGGCCCACGTATTGCCCTGGATTCTCTCTCCGACGGTGACCTGGATTAGGCTGCTTCAATCTCTTGCCTGCTTTTGTCGACTTCAGGTTTTCTTCGGAATCGGAATTAGTTCTACGGCCAAAGTTTTTTCAGCATCTTTCTCTTCTTTGTTCTACATGTAAGGAATTATCTGAATCCAGGTTCTCATATTGTACTTATCGAAAAATAGAACTGCTTCATAGACTGTATACTTTCCATTCATGCCTAAAGTGAATGGAAACTACAAATAAATCTTAGGAATGAAGACTCTGCAATTCATGTTCAAATGATCATGGCTCAAGTGTAAGGTTCTACCCTATTTGCCATGCTTTCATAGAACTATTTGATCATTGTGAGTACAAAGCAAAGCATGGATATTTTATGATGCCAATAGTGATGTATATTATTGCACAAAAGGGTTAATGTATCACATGGGAGGTTAGTTTGCCTTGAACTTTTATCTGGATTAGGGGGTGGGTATATATATGTATTATCATGTTATCATTCAGACGTCGTGATAACATGTCCTACACATGAGTAAATGTATGTTACCCAATCGCTGACATAGATGAAACGACATAAACCAAAGTCTTCAAGTTTATCGATGTGCTAAAAGATAAACTCTTAGTTTGTGACTCTATTACACCGACTTCAACATGTTCTGAAAGATTGGTCAAAAGTGTAGGTTACTATGCAGCATGGGAATCACTTTGTTGTGAAACATACTTTGAGTAATGTGAGTTCTTCTTAAAACACAAAAGTTTTGCAACTCATATACATCGGACATATGTGTAACATCACTTATGTCCAATGATGTTATAAGGTTTTATTACCATGTAACCTACTTGGTTTCTTCCTTGTAATCTTATGAATTTTTTTTGGATAATATTACATGTAAAGTTTTTACCATCAACTTTATGATTATCCGTTTTTGAAGATACCTTTGATGATGACATGAATAATTTAGTGCGTAATCTTCAATTTATAAACTGATAAATATTTGCAAGTGTCCTTTATCATTTAAATTTTTTCGTAAGATTTTATTTTATTTTATTTTTCCTTATAATATTTATTTTAAAATTAAATATAAAATTTAGATTATTCATAAAAAATGGATAAATCTTCTATATAAATTCAATTTCATAAATAATCTAACCAAGGGTTTATCATTTTTGTATTCGTTTCAAAAGAATTCTAATCACTCATATGACTAGGTGATATTGTAAATTTTGAAAGATTGATAAACTCATAAAAAAGTTAAATGAAACTAATGCATCAAAGGTAATAGTGAAAGATACAAATTTTCTGCTTGAAAATAAAGATTTTGTACCACTAGTATTTAAATTCAGTAAGAAAAAAAAGATTCAAATATTAAAAAGCATACAGTTTATAACTATTTCATTTTTTCTATCCATTAAATATAAAGCATTTTTTACTGAATTTTTTTATTATAAATCTAAAAAAAGACATGAAAATATCTAATAATAGAATACAAAATCTGTATAGTAGATATTATAGCTAATATAATAATCTATTAAGATATAAAACTTTACATTATATAATTGATATAGTTGTAAGTCATAAGAAATATTTCATTTTTTCTACCTCTAAAGTATTTTTTAGATATAATTTCATTAATTCACACGAGTATTTTATTTAATAATTTTTATAAAATCAGTTTAACATAAAATCTCAAAAATTTAAAATGCTATATCAAATTTTGTTTTAGAATCTGATATGTTGATGAAAAAAATTATTTTAATTTTCTATTTTAATTTTTTTAATATACCAATTTTGATTTCAATTTATCTATCTATGATGGATCAAAATCTTCTTTACCATTTATGATATTTTTTTTCATTGCCTTTTAAAGAGCAGATTGATAATCTAAAATTTTTAAGTACAATGTCATGTAAGTAATCATGTATAAATGATATAGGCATGTATTTCAATATTTTATTTTGAATAATTTTTATATTTAAGTTTGGATATCAAGAAAATCATTAAATTACTTTGATATTTTGAAAAATATTTATGAGATATGTGTATTTCCAAGTATGCTGAATCTATCTTAATTTTTGTCAAAGTAATTTTCACATATGAAAATGTAGTTGCGTTATGTGACTTAATTCAAATCATGGAGTACAAAGTCTGTATATTTTTAAATGCAAGTTGTTTCAGTTAGTTCTGACTGAAATTTAGATTGTATGTATGGATGTCTTTAGTTGTGGAGGATGCATACAGCGTGGGATTCAGATGTGAGTAATGGATGCTAAAATGAACATAGGATTGAAGATAAATTAATGAGTTTCAAATGATTCAGAAACACTTTCTTACTCCTCAATGACTATCAATGAAAAATTCATATGAATAGTGATTTTTCCTTCTTTTGGCATGTACTTGAAATATCTTAGAATTTAGTTCGAAGATTTAGGAAGCATTGATTGTTGAATGACTAAGAAATATATAACGACTTAGCAATTTCTTCTTTAGTTTAATATGCTTATTTGGAGGGTTTTCAAATCTTTGCAGAGTTCACATTGTTAGAATTTCATGAGAATCTCACAAACAAGTGACAGCGACAGTAAAAGCACGGGTAATAATAAACAAGTGGAAGTCAATACACCGATCTAACGTGCTTTACATTTCTGAGGTGTACGTCCAAGGCGAGGGAAAATGATCGTTAAAAGTGTAATCCTGTGATACAGTGCGTGATTACCAAATTTAGGCGACGGTTCCTAGCTAAACTTAGCTAGGTCGAGGTTACTCCTAAATAGGAGTTAACCTCAACACAGGTGACCTAAAAAACTTCACATTCCTTCAATGAACGAGATACACATGCATGACCAAATCTTTGCATGATAGAGGATTCTTGGCTCAAAAAAGAAGAAGAATGGAAATAGAAAAATTTCACACACACGAACATACTGAGCAGATTGGACTGGAAATACCATCTGTAGCACTCATATATGAATAATTAACAACTGCATCATTGTGATTTGAACATATGGAATATAATATTTTCAACTATTTTTTGTGCCAAAGAGTGTTAGTCCTGCTTCCTTGATTTGGTCTACATGTACTGTACGTCCGTAGATTGTATCCAAGTAATTGTCTTGATGTAAGCAATAGGTGTTGGCATAAATACTGTGGTTGATTAAACCTTGCAATTTTGAACATGATTCAATTTGGATATCACTCAAACTAACCTGAGAGGACAGTTTCAATTTGCATTCTTATAATTTGGTATATATCTCAAATATTGTATTCATCATGCAGTTGAGCTTTCTCCATCAATTGTCATTTTCCCAGGAATTTTAAATATATAAATAAATATTTTGTGAATCTCTAACATGGAGATAGAATTTTGTTATCTTGAAATAAGGTAATCTTACGGATGATATTTCTTCTATAGTTGGTATAAATCATTTGAACCAACCTAATTGCTTTGTGATATATTTCATAGCAATTCAAATATATTAAACATGAAAAATATGTATATCCATATATATTTGCATTGAAATTTAAAAACTAACATGCCAAATTCGTTACTTTCACTACGTTATCTTCATGAATTTATGACAAGTATTATCATCTTGATTTGATTCTCTCATTATACTTAAATCATAGTTTATAACATATATAATCAAATTGAATAAAAATTTTCAGTTATAAATTGCTCAATGTATCATCAACATAGTCTATATATTGGTCAATGATATTGATATAAATAAATAAAAAATTATATTATATAATATTTTCATAAAAAATTGAAATATAGTAATATTTTGGCTCTGATATATTTATTCTACGACAAGGCTTTATGTCTGAATATTTTTCCAATTGTGTTTTTTTACAAATCGTAAGGATTTTGATCATCGTTGTTATTTGTTTGTAAGGCTCCGACTTCTTTTCATACGCCTTCATGATTCCATGAAAACTTTCTCGTGTTTTGTTTGGGGAACAATAACACGTTCTTACAATTTAGGTTGAAACCCATATATCACTTTTTAAAAATGCATACATTTCACCGTGCATCTAGCGTTATCGTGGCCTATGTGATGGACTTCTACTGAACAAGGAAAAAGGCGGATGCTTGAAAATCATGATGTTCCAACTTCCATTTTGTCTTTCTCCATCGAATTGAAGGATACCTTCATCAATGCACTATACTTGTGACATATTCATCCTTTGGATATGAGACGTTTACAACCTAGAAACATTATGCATATTATAGTAACTTGGTCATCTTGAACAATTATAAATCGTGTGACTTACACATTTCATGTTCCATAAATATTATATTTCAAGGTTACAACTTTAACAAAAAGATTTTTAAATAAATAATGTATAATTTTTAAAGAAAAAGGTTGGGATTGATCACGATACTAACTTAGAGGTGAATCAGGTTCGTTCATAGGTTTGTTCCGTATTTCATCGGTAGCGGGTGGTGTGCTCGTGTTGGTTTCGGCAATGCCGGTGGCGGATGCAACGTAGAATTCCAAGGATACTCATAAGCGCAGCGTCGGAATCACGAATACAGAATATTGATTGGGCAAGGGGCTCCTCCGCGAGCTCAACTGAGCCGAGCATAAACTGTGCATCCCGTGTGTGGTGACCACGTAGGGTCCTCGGGACAGCGCGACCCGCAGGAGTCACATCGCCGCGGTACCGGGCGGCCGGGCCGACGACAGATCGAGCCGACATGCGGAGTATGAGACAGATGCCATAACGGGTACCGCATATTGGGGCCCCATCGTGCGGGTTGCGGAGAGTGGAGCGGCAGAGGCAGGGAAGAGAGAGAGCGCCAGGCGGACGAGGGAGAGAGGGAGGGAGGTAGAGCAGCCTCGGCGCACTAAGTGTTGACGGGCGAACAGCTGCCCTCGGTCTGTCTTGGTCGAGCGCGGAAGGAAAAGCGACGGGAGGTGGGAGACGACGAGGGTTCGAAGTCGACGATCGACAACGGGGAAGGAGCTTCGAGTGCCAGTCCGAGAGAGCATTTGTAATTTGGCTCGGGCAACGGTGGCGCGGATTTTTGCCATTTTTCGGAGGAAAGCGCGAAGCAGGGCGCTTGAACGTCGCGACGAGACGAGACGAGCGCTAACCGATTAGTAGAGCACTCTTTTTTGGTCGAAGTGGCAAGAAGCGGAGGACGGAGACGGAGGAGCAGGAGGGATCGACGAGGTTGATCGATTTGCGAGGCAGTGGACGGGAAGGCCGTGGGAGGAAGGCACAGACCCTCCGAAGTGGTGGTCATTGGAATGGTAACCGATTGCAGCGCTGCTACCCGTGCGCGGAACGGAGGCATGTAGGGAAGCGGGGAGATTTGTGGTGGTAGTGGGTAATATGGTGGTGGGGATGTTGAGGTCGTGACTTGCGGTTGAAATCATTCCAAGTGCTTTGAGCACAGAGCACTGTTACGCGTGAAGAAGGGCTGAAAGATTGTAAACGACTTTGTGTTCTTGGTCTGGAGTTCGGTGGTAGGTTTCTTTGTTGGCGTGTGTGCTTGTTGTGGAATGTTTGGCAGTGATTCAGATTAGGGCAAGTGGTGAGAAAGTAGTTTTCGACGGACTCAGAGCGCCATCCTAGCTGCAGTTGCTGCTGTTCCACTGAGCATAGGGTGCCTTGACGATCACAGGGAAGTACTGAAGGGTTTAGGGTGAAGCTTGAAGTTGAAAGATAGGCTTACTACTCTAGTTTGTCCTGGCGGAGCTGTAGATTTGTTGCTGCCCTGCTTCCTTCTTATTGTTGCTCTCTGGCACTCTTTGAAACGGCATTCTCTCCCCTTCCCTTCCCATCCTCTCTCCTAGCTTGGGCTGGCATCAGGCTTCTGCTACCTCCTGCATGTTCTTGGGGATCCAGTGAGAGCTTCTCGTGTTCTGTCGCCTCCAACTGTAGAATTCTTTGCATATTTAGGTAATTAGTTTCTTGGTACTCCTTCCGTTACCTTGCACCTGATTGCAGTACACCATTTGAAAGAATTTTGGCAATGTCGACTCCGATACCATCTTTAGGAAACAAAACCCCGGAGCAGCTGAAGGTCACAGAACTCAGGGAAGAGCTTAAGAAACGAGGACTCAGCTTCAAAGGTCTGAAAAAGGATTTGGTTGAAAGATTGGATGAAGTTCTTCGTGAGGAGCTTGCGAGACAAGCGGCTGCAGCTGCTGCGGAAGCCGACTCCGAAGCCTCGCCTGAAGATGACAAGCAGTCTTCAGACGAAGAGGAAGTGAGTACTCCTCCTCGTAAACATTCCGAGGAGGACGAACCTGCGAAACTGTATGTTATCGAAGAGGAAAAGGTTGTTGCTGAGACTGAACCTTTGCAGTCAGCTCCAGTACATGTGGCTGAACAGGAGGAAGGTGTCGCTGAACCTGAACATTTGGAACCAGGTGGAGACGTTGTCACCCTCCCCATTAGCAAGTCTGTGGAGGAAGATCTGGTTGCCAACCATGTTCCCGAAGACGCAATTATCAAGCTCGATGTTGAGCTCGCGGCAGATCCAGAAGTCTCGAGAGCTGAGCTTGTGCCGGAAGTTGAGTCAGGTGTTGTCCTTTCTGATTCAACCCCGTCTCCAAAAGACAGTGCGGCCGAGGTGCACCATAGTCCTCGGGAGGATCTTGTCGAACACGTTTCCGATAACGGTCCAGTGCCAGAGCGAGAAGCGGATGAGCCCATGGCCGAAGCCGCGATCGTGTCCGAAGAAGTGGCCAACGAGAAACATGAAATTGTGGCACATGATGAGGGTCGAGGACATGTCGACTTAGAGAAACCCCCGGAACAAGACACTAAGTTGTGTCAGGAAGTTGATAAACCTCATCACAAGCTCGCTCGCCCAGCCGCTTCCACGGAGGCCGTCATCATAGAGGCCTCTGATGGAGAAGTCGAGCCAGAGGCTATCCCTCGTGAGGTAGCTCCCGTATCCGAAGTACTGGATGGAGAACCTGAGGAGGGGCGCATAGAGGTGCAGGGTTCCTACTCTGAAGCTACTGGAGAGGTCGTCATGGAAACCACAGTAACAGAGGTAGTGACCGTAACCACAGAAACGACTGTTGTGAGCACGGCAGAAGTAACTTATTCGGAGATGGATGCAGAGGTGTCTAGAGCACCTGCAGACCACGATGTCGGGTCGCCAACAGAAAGGAATTCTGATGCGGGAACACGTAGCGTAGAGCCTAAAGACAAGCTGGAAGCTGCCAGTGATGAGCAGCGTGAGCATGAAGCAATGGACGCAGACGAAGCCGAAACAACTAAGGAATCAAAGCCCATGGAGATTGATTCCGAATCTCTTGCAGGATCCAAGCGTAAAGAAGGAGGTGCCTTCTGTTTCCCTGTCATTCTGTGTGTTTAGACTTTGAAGTTTCTGCTGGATTTGGTCAGCTTCTGTGCCCTTGATAGTTGTAGTTTTCATTCTTTCCAGCTGAGTTTGAGCATATCTGCTGAATTATCTTGAATGTTCCCCTCTTAGCGTTCGCAGTTCCAGAGTCTACTGCATGATGAAAAACGTATTCGTCCAGCGATATGTTTAGGGGGCTATTTCTTTTGACTTCACCTACCATGTAAATGAACGATCACGGGTCCTGTCGATGTGACTAGGATCAAGGTTTTCCTTAAAGGAAATTGTTATTTTCTAGGCGCAGACGGTTTCAGTTCTTTAACAAATTTTGGGTGTCTCCTCACTTACAGATGATTCGAGGCAGCAAGAGCCTGCAAAGAGGCAGAGGAGGTGGAATTCTGAGAAAAGCATTGGAGCAGTTCCGGATGTCAAAACGCCTCCTAAAGTTTTGTCTACAGATACTGTTAAGGAAACAATACCTGCACAATCCAGAGATGCAGTTGTGCATGGTTCTGCTTTAGGGTCCCCTTCTACCACCGTTTCTTCTACTCCAAAGACCGCAGCAACGACGAGTTTTGAAAAGCCAGCGGCATCTAGACCTCCGTTGGGAAGGATAGATGCCTCTGTCAACGGTGAAGCTGAGAAGAAGCGCCACGGTAGTTTTTGTAGATTCCTTCGGCCCTTGAAGAGCATCTCACTTGATATTTGTGCTTGGAAGGAGATTTTGGCTTCGAGGAACTTTTTTCCATATTTCCTGTCTGTGAGCTCTTTAGAGTGAACAATTAAGCCCTGACTGTTAAAACTGTATTCTTTTATGTCGTTTGCAGTTCCACCTCCCACAAGAAGTCCGACGACTTCCTTGAAGATAGACAGATTTGTTAGGCCCTTCACTATCAAGGCTGTAAAAGAGCTGCTGGAGCAAACAGGAACGGTGAAAGATATGTGGATGGATCAGATTAAAACTCACTGCTTCGTTACGGTACGTCATTTAAACATGATTTTGCTATCTATGACATCTTGTTACCTGGTCGTTAGCTACGTGAAAGTTCCGAAAGCGAGAGACGTGAGATACTGCCGAAGATACTAGGATTACTATCACAAATAATCAGTTATTTTATCGCATGAAGTGGCTGATATTGCCTTGTGGGGATGGTAATTTGGAAGAAGTTGCAGTAAAGGCCTCTATCCTAAATTCATATGGCGTTATCCTTTACGCCTTACTTTTGCCTTGTTCTGAAGTTTCTTTGTTTTTTTATTTCAGTACTCGGCTGTAGAGGAAGCAGTTGCAACTAGAAACGCCCTATATCACCTCCAGTGGCCTGTCGCTGGAGGAAAACTGCTGGTGGCGGAGTTTGTAGAGCCCGAGGAGGTGAAGATGCGTGTTGACGGATTTGTTGAGAAACCAGCTGCCACTCCTGTCACCACTCCACGTGGTTCGGGAAGTAGCGCAATGCCGGCGGCTGCTCCTATGGGTCTGATGGCTCTTTCTGTGCCTACACCGACGTCAGCACTACCACCCCCACCTCCTCTTCCACCTCCACCAAGGGAGAGACCAAATATGTCTTCAAAGAAAGGTGAGGCTTCGATGATCGATGAGTTTTGGAGTAATTTTATACGTTTTCTATATTTCTTGTGCTAATTTGTTCTCTTACTCGCCAATATTCGTGGTCAGCGGTTTGATGGTATTGCACTATGAGTAACATAATCCTCCTTTAACATATCAATGGTTTTATGGTTTGAAGTCGTGTTTTTTATGAAGTCTTTGTCGAAAATTCTAATGATTTTGTGAGAAGTTGTTTCTGTTCAAAATCCAAGTTTTCTAATGTGTGCAAAGTCGTGTGTCAGTTGACACGAGTCCCGTGTTACACTATCATAAATTTACCTGTATGTTATATTGCCTCGTCCCATTGTTTTTTCTTACCTTTTACTGGTGTTTTATTCCTTATGCAGAACTCGAGCCACCAATCCCTACACTGGACGATTTGTTCAAGAAAACGTGGGCGAAGCCACAAATTTACTACCTGCCTTTGACAGACGAGCAGGTTGCTAACAACAAAGCAAGTGTCAGAGCTTTGTCTAACAACCCTATTTTAAAAGCTTGACACGGTTTCGAACTTCTGCTTTTTGATCAAAATTTGGATTCAACCCTTGGTGCCCACTCAAAGTGGGTGAAGCAAACACTACAAGAGACTAAGCACATCGATGTATTGAATATCTGCAGAAATTTCCAACCCACTATGAATATGATACTGAAACAGAACTTTTCTATCGGTCTCTTCGCTTCTAAGGTAGGTAAGGGATGATGCACGTTGTGTCGATTGTGAGGTCGTAGTTCTTTATATCAAAGAAAGTAGATTGGGTGTTTTTGAAATATCCATGCCATAATGTAAAGAGTTCAACTTCCTCTTGCCAGAGGTTACCAACGTTGTACACCAGTACAGTCTGTGTTGTGCTTGTCTAGTCAGTTCTCAGCTCTGTTGACTAACTGTTTTAGACGAGTAGATACGCTGGTTATGGTCTTGGGTGTTAACGTTGTGCGGAAGAGACCATTAGGTTCAATGGAAAGAGATTGGTGCGTTTCGGACGTGATTGCAGGATGCACTTCCAACTCAAACCGGCCTTTGAGTATGGGGCGGACTAAGGATAGAAGCTCAAGCCCCGGAAATGTACGGAAGAAGAAACACGCAAGGAGAAATTGCACTAAACCTCAATGTTCATGGAATTAGGGGTTGCATTAGGCGATTCCCTAGTGTAGGCGTAATACCGAGGTTGCCTCAGGTATAGGGTCACCTGATGTGCTACCCAGGAATAAGTTGGGATTAAAGTAATCTCTGACATAGGTGTATAGGCTTTGTAGTGCAATATTCATTGGCTAAATTCTATGTTAGCTCGACATGTTAAACAATGTACCACACTAGTCTGGGTGAAATCTCTACTTACACGAGTGGTTAAATTTAATAACATGAAAATCTGGCATCTTCACAAGAGTCGATTGTGGATTTTCAGCCACGAAACCCATAGTTTTGTGCAGATACAAGCCCCTCACGAAATGGACTATGCCAATGGAATGCCGCTACTTGACCAAATGAGTCACGAGGAACCTAAACATCATCGTTCAGGAAATGGTACTGTTAGGAAACTGGAAATTTGAAGACGTCGATGTCAGGCCATGAGCATTTTTTTCGATAAGCATTAGGTGCTGCGCTCAATTTTGCACTGGTATGCAGCAACACAAGACCCAGTTCAAGCGAGATTGTGAACAGGGCAATTTTTGGCCAACCAACTTGAGATGTAGCTACGATATGGTTTGCACATTGTTAGAGTTCAAATCCAAAGGTTTCACGCACGGTACCCGACAGCAGGGACGATGGACGTGGTTATTGCCTCGTGCCAGCAGTCTGGCCACATTATATTCAACTCATATGGCTTGTCTATTCTATGCCTGTGGTATCGAACCTGGCCCTGCATTTCTCCATGTGTAGTAGTTATCGCTTCGTATACCCGGATTAACGATAAGCTTTCACTTCGTCTGTTCCATACTCTTTTTTTCATACCGCCTCCCTACTCTTTTGTCCCTTTCGTTTCTTTCATTTATGCCCTTCATTCTGATGTTTCATGCCAAAACCTTGCACCTCCTTCCTCTATGCACTACCTACTCTTCAATGCAGTTTGAAACGCAGGATGAGGTATTTCCCAGTTGCCATGCAAAGCTGATGTTCATGTTTACCGTGCAAATGCACTTAACGCTCCGCAAGAAGCCTGCATACAAGCACGATGTTGGTAACGAAGTGCAAACTTCGTGCATGTTCTATAGTGTGCCCGAGAGTCCATCCGGAGTTCGAAGGAAGAAAAGGTGCCGAGCTTTCTGCAGCTGAAGTCAAGTGAGACATCCGGCATACGGTAAATCCAAAACCAGGAAGACGGAACACGAAAGACTCGAAAAGGGAACGGAAGTGTCTGTTCTGACAGGAACGGTCGACAGATAGAAGACTCCCTATCGAGACAACCTGATTGGGCCGCTTCTTATCTTACCGTGTGCTTTGCGGCTGCTTGCAAGTCTACGCGTTTCAAACATTATCAACAAAACTCCACCAACATTCAATGTCTCCAATAACCCCGAACTACAGCCGTACTGCCCACCCGGGACACGCTACTCGGCGCAGTTAACGTCATGCCGTTCCTTAGCGGAACACACATGGGTCGCAGTAAGTGGTGCTCCACACAGTCTGCATACTGTATCTCACGTCATGGGCCGGCAAGGCCCCTAGGTCCCTTCTTCTAGGCTCGGGGGCTGTACCTCGATATTATAAGCCTGAACGAGATCTAGGCCTAGACTTATCCAGATCTTATGATGACACGGACTGAAAATATCGTCGTGTTTCTTGTCGTGGTGACGTGGAACATGACCTCGGATTGGCATAGTCACGTAGCCGGCTAATCTTCGTAAAGCCGGCTAGCCGATACAAATGGCTAGCCGGCTAGGGACTCCAGTTTAGCCGTCTAGCCAATTAGACGGCTAAAGGCCGAAATATTTCGGCTGAAATATTCGGTCGAAATAAGGATTTGGGGTGTAATTTCGGATGAATCGGCCGAAATGATCGGCCGAAAAATCAGAATCGGTCCTCATTTTCGGTCTCGGATAGAGTTCCGGCTAGCCGGCTAACAAAAATATATTAGCCGGCTAGCGGTTAGCCGAGCCGTGAGCATCCCTAACATCGGATTTGGTTCCTCGACATAGAAGGGACAATTCGCCAGCGCACTGCTCTCTGACTCGTCTCCCCTGTAGTACATTTACCATGCCACGGTACATGCATTGCCCGGACTAAGTTGTAGAACGAGTGTTGCCATCAACCACGTACTGTCGAGAATACCTCCTTCCCTGTGGTAGACCGTCCATACAGTCAACTGCGACGCCAAGTGTTGAGTCGGAAAGCCAATAAGCAAAGCTACAGAAATTAAACCACAACAAAGTTCAAGGCTACGTGGTACTTCGCTGTGGTTCAAGTACAGCGTTAGAAGTGCACACCAGGTATCCGTGAAACACGTTACTTAATTATCGATGAGCTACCATAGTCCGTAGAATGGGACTTTGCGTGGAGTAATGCGTGCGAGCTACTGTCGAAGTTGTACCATGAGGTTGTACAATACTCGGCCATCTGCTCCCAGCCCTCGGAGAGATATTTGGATGCCAAAGGCACCAAGAGTCAAGATGATTTGATCCTTGAGGTCCGAACTGAGGCTGGGCCTCGAGGCGGGGCCCACGCTCCCCGAACAGTAGCTTCGAGAATGGCTGGCGTGTGTGAGTATCCTCAGGTAGGTTACAGGGTACCGTACGCAGCCAGCCCAAGATGCTGTATTGTGAGTTTACGACGTCGAGGAGGTCAACCTGGTTGACTTTTGAATGCAGCAAAGCTGATTACTGGAGGGGCTGAACCTTTCCGAAGTGACCTGGAGTTTAAGTGCACTTTAAGTGCACTTCTCCGGTTAATTGACCGCAGTTCAACGACTGCCCACCTCGTCCGATCATCAGGTCACTGGACTTACTGCAGTCGGGGTGTCTACCACGTTTCATACAGCATTGAACTAACGTACTGTACTTCAATGTCAAGGTTTGACTCGACATTTCGATTTCGTGAGTTAAGCTAGCTTTCACAGAGACTACGAATCGTCTGAGGTCTCAAGACTCGGTCGAGTGCAAGTGTGGCAAGTCCCCAGGGGAAAGTTTCACTTTCAACTACAAATGAAAGTTCTGGATGGATTTATGATTCTATTAATGTAGGATAGCAGATATCTTTGTCGTTAGAATATTAAGGAGTGGTATTTACCTTTTTACTGAGCACTTTAAGGGTTCGTTTTACACCGGGTGAAACCATTGCTTGTCCCATTCACAAACACTGTTTGCAACAATGCAGCGCTTTGGTAGATAGAAGTTGTGAATTATGAACTGGAACCATGTGTTCAATCTGGGGCCCAAATATTCCTGGAAAATATATTTAAAGATTTTCCAATATCTGAGAAAGTTGTTTCCGATCTGCTTTATTGTACCAAAGCAAATCGGACACTTGAAAGCGTAAGGGATCTTCGAATTTATAATAGGGCGATATATTGACCGATTGCAATCTAAATGTAACTCTCGACAAACCATTCATATGGTTACCAGAGAGGAAACTTCAAGACAAAGAAGTCATTCCTAAGCACAATAGATTTATTGTCCGGAGACAAATCACACAACTTACGTGGTTTCAGTTTTCGTTGTTATTATTTTCAACTTTTTCAGGCTGGAAATTTCGGTCCACGTTTTCCATTCAGATAAACCAAGTCAATACAATTTAACTTAAGTGCTTACAAACCTTGTAGATAGGAATCTTAAGAAATGTAGGAATCATATAAAGATGCTCATCTCTACATGCTCAGACAAGCTCATTCTGCTGAGTAAAAGGTAATTAAAAATAATGAGCAAAGAGGAAAATAACAAATCGTTTGAGGAATGGAGAAATTGTCCCGTCCGGCTCGAGAAGCTGTCGCCAATAACAGTACGAGAAATCACGTTCTTGTACGCGGTACACTACGACGACGTAGAACATGAACCATTCATCGTACGAAGGGCTAAAGTCCAAACCAGCTTGTGCAGGAACCTACGGGCCCTGACCGTAGTGGCCTATGGCCGCAGCACTAACCATGACGTACTGTAAGTTACTCAGGTAGCATTTTGTCCGCATCGACGGCGAATAGGCTGCCTCCCTCGTTCGGCGCGGCGGTCAGTGGGTCAGTGGGAAGAAGGAAGAAGAGGGAGGGAACGGAAGCGGAGGTAGGCGGAGAGACGAGTTCGGTGCAAGGCATCTGCGCGGATAATTTGGAACCGTGAATTTCCCGATTCATCGATCGATCTCGTCCCGAGGCTAATCCTTTTGCAGTGTTCCCCGAAGCGAGGAGTTTCTTGCGAGGAGGTCGGTCGCGGGAGTCGAGTGCCATCGTAGCGTCTGGAGTGAGCACGCCGGCCGCAGAGATGAGGATTTGAGGAGTTTTGCTTAAGAGGTCGTTTGGTTGATCAATTGATCGATCGATTGTTTAATTGATTGATTGGAGTGAGTAGCGTCTGGCTCTCTCTTTCACGCGGCTTGTCCGAGATTTGAGTCCGATTGAGTTTTGACGAAGCGAAAGCTTTCGTGCACTGCCACGAAAAGTCGGTGGGAGTGGGGAGGTCGAGACGGGAGAGTTCGGAGATAAGTGTGCGGTGAATCGTTCGGAGAGTGGCGACAATGGGAGGAGGTGCGGTGTGGAGAGGGGTTACGAGATTGGCAAGCACGGTGACTCCGGCCGTCAGACCGGGCTCTCGAGCCACTAGCTCCTCGTGCAGTTTTTGTAAGACCAATGCGGCGGCGCAGGCTGCGAAAGCGTCTTCTTCCAAGATGCATTCATGCGCTTGCACACCCGAGACCACCCCAAAGGCCGGGTATGTGAGCCAGGGAGCGAAGCCAATGTGGGATTCCGATGAGTGGGAGTTCGCTGAGGAGGAAGACAAGATCGATCATTTGGTATTTGGGCCAAAACCGTCCCGACAAGAGGTCGAGGAGGCATCCTCAGAACTGCAGAACGCTCTTCGTTTGTATGTGCTCCTTCATATCATTATCGTTGTCCCTGCTACTTCTTCTACTCTTCCCATCGTGCTGATTTTGCTTCTTGCCGAGACGAGGATCCTTAGAAAATCTCATGTTGTATAATACGATTTGAGGTAGAGTGAGCGTTTGGAGCCTGCCTAGCTCCCAAAAGACCATAGTTTTAAAGAGATGATGGTCTATGCATCTACTGGGCACAATATGGCTGATTTGTCAGTAGAACGCGTAAGGCTTTGTCTACACGGGCGCACCGGGACCAGATTAGCGAAGCTTGTTTCTCTTTTGTGCAATTGGGTGTAAACTGTCCGTCGAGCACAGCGAGTGAGAAGCGTTCATGGCTATAGATTGAAGTTATGCCATGTGCTCACATCTTTTGAATTTTTTCTCGCGCAGTCAACGACTGCATAGTTTTCTGTATATAACCTGTATTGGTTGATTCTTCGTGTCACAGAGGCCTCGAAGCTCCGTCTTACGACAATATACAGGCCCCGACATCATGGGGAACCCTCTTACCGACGACGGCGGGACAGGCTGAAGGTTCTCAGCAGTCGGGAAGTCCCCTGCTCTCCCGGAATTCCAGTAGTTCCGGAATCACAGAGGAGAAGGACATAGAAGAGGTTTCAAGACCTCTTCTTGCATCGAAGCTTGCTCTGGATTGGGTGGAACCACCTCCAATTCGCACTGGTCAAAACGCACTGCAACCGGGAGGGAGGAGTGCAGTCCAGGAAGCTTTTCATCAATTTCAACACAACTCTGAAGTTCAGGTGGGATGAGGCTGGTCACTTGTCAATTACCCGAGAGATGCATTTTCTGTTGCGATACCTGCATCTCTGTATTCAAGATTCTGAGAAATTCTCCAAAAGTCAGGGCTCGCTTTGCATCCTCTTCTATTGCAACACAGCTCCGAAGATCGTTGAGTATCCATTGCCGCCGATTTTGTTTCGATCGGCTGAATGACTCTTTCATTGGAATTAGGAACCTTAGAACCAATGGGATCAAATGAGATTTTCTTTTTTCCAACACTCGAATTTACCATGACTCTGTTCATCGTTCACTTCAGATCAACCACTGGAGTTGTGGACCAATTCTCATGTTTTGAAGGTTGCTTTCTGCACAGAATATGGTGGTGTCCCTTGCAAGCGATCCGAATGTATGGGATGCAGTACTTCAAAACGAGAAGATTCAGGAATTCAAGCGAAAGCTGCAAGGAGATAAGGGTATGAGGAACTTGGACAACGAACGCTGGGCTTGAAAGTTTTTAAACTAGGGTTCAGAATGTCCTCACGCTACTTGGTGATGGATGGTAAGAGCTAATTAGTGATTTTCGTTGTGTTCATTTTGCGACGGATATTATCTAACATGAAAATTTTCTGGTTTCTCAGCGTTTTTCGTCGATAAGGCAGATAGAGTCACCGAGGTGGAAAGCGATCCAGCGAGCGAGAGCACACCGAATTTCTTCGAACGCTGTCAAATATTCTGGCGGACCCAGATACTGCAGTTCATGGATGTACTTAATGGCCTTATCATGAACTTGTTCAAATCAGCTGATAAGAAAATCTTCGCCGAGGAAGATGGAGACACTCTCAATAGGACTGTCAAGTCCTGCACGATGCTCGCTCTTGTTGTTTTGTGTGTGGTTATTTTAAAACGTATATCTGTACAGGCAGCTTAGTGCTGCAAGACGAGAACTGTAATAGCTGTATATTGATTGGTACTTAGAACTTGGGCCGGAGATTGCAATGGACTGAAGCCGGAACTCGACGGTTATGAAGTTTTAGAATTTGCCGATATGAATGGCGGGAATAGATGTATCAAGGAGATTCCCTTGATTGACCACGTTCTGTATATAAGTTTTGAAATCATGAAGAGGTCCGAGAAGTCCGTTGTGACAACATATCGCCACATATCGACATGCTGCCGTATCTTAGCCTGCTTATTAATGTGGAAGGCACTAGTTTATTGGCCGTGTATCCGCCAAGTGATTGGCGCTCATAGACTACAACTTTCAATTAGTCTCAGTGTCTCAATTAGAAAGGGTAGTTCCCTGAGTGACAGATTGAGTCTACTGAGCGAGCGAGGAGTCATCGAGTGAGCGCTGCGGGCATTCCTGCTAAAGGTGTGGAACATTGATCGCTCAGTTGCGAAGCACCGCCTTAACTAGTGTACAATTTTCATTGAGGTCTTGTCCCGTTATTGACTCAGTCCGCATGACCTGCCGACAGCGAAATTTAGAAGCCTTGTACATGGCATTATTTCCTTCAAATTTCGAATCTATTGCGTAAGTGGGCATGACCCTGCACCTTTATCTGCCATCTGAGGACAAAGGAGGAGTTTTTTTTCTTAATTCCTCCAGGAGCGTATGAATCTCATTTCTTATATGACAGTCTGACTTTGAGTGGGAATATAATGGACATGTTAGGAACTAGAAAATGTGTGGAAATTTTCTTGTGGCGCATATTCAATCTAGTGGTTCAACAATTGTCTTTGAAAGAGCGTTGATTTAATGTTGCGGTGAAACAAGTAAGAAAAAAAGATTGATAGTATAACTTTTTTCCACTTAAGAAGTGGAAGCATACTTCCAGATGTCAGGTTAGAACTTGTATTAGACAGCACGGTAAAAATAGATGACAGTAGTGGCAATATGATAGTTAAGAGCTTGCGAGTTAATTCCACAAACGACATCTTATATTACTCTTCATGCTCTCCATGTCCGGGAGACCTAAAGGATAAAAAACACAACAGAAGCGCAAACCAAATACTAATGAAAAGATCCCAAAGGTCAGTACTAACGGGTAACTACCAATGTCTTTAGAATAATAATTTAAATCAAAAGTAGTTAATTTTAGTAAAAATTAATTTTTTTCCATATTTACATTATGAGCAAACCTAATGTCTTAATATCTATAACAAATATGTATTCAATATAGCCATTATCACATGATCTGTAAATAATTTCATAACCATTTACATCAAAAATAATTTATTTTATTAAAAAATAAAAATTTTCCATATCTATATTATGAACAAATCTAATGTCTTTAACCTAGAATAAATAAGTACCATTTCTCGATTTGTGAGTACATAATAACAAATACATATTCAATATAGCCATTGTCACATAATCTTTGTATAAATTCATAACAATCTAAATAACAAGTAGCTAATTCTAATAAAAAAATAGAAATTCTCCATATCTATGTTATGAGCAAATCTAATGTCTTCGTAGTTAGAACAAGTAACAAATACAGCCATCTTTACATAATCTATAAATAAATTCATTCCTATCAATATAAAATCAACGTACTTCTCCAAATCCAAACCTATGAGATCTAGTTCTATTCTTAGCAATAATATGATTTAAGAACGTAAAGATTCATGCAAGTAGATAATAATGTTCACACTAAACAAGAATAAGATTCACATGAAGTTGATTAAACAACATCTTGGTGCCACATTTGTTGCAAATAATGTTGAGAAACTCCTCATTTAGACATTCGCGTAGTGTCATAGATTGCAGATCCCAATCGCGTTCCGTCACATTCTACCTCAAAGACCAAGTTGTCACATCCGCTAACCATCCTTTTAGACGTGTGGCGCACAAAGCTTGAAGAGTGTGAGCTCGGAAGTGCGAGATCTCTTGAAGTTTCTCGCCTTAGCGAGAAACATCAAGAGATCTCATACTTCCGATGTAAATGATGGTCAAGTATAAAGCTTCAGCCTCTAGAGTTAAACAACCTGTTTCAGCAAGAAGTATAGCATGTGGAGTTTGGTTTCTCACACCCAATTTGTTTTCTAGAAATATCTTCAGCACCCTCTCCACACGCTCCCAACTCGTCTTCTTACAACCAAAGCCCCACACTTGAGGTTCCATATAATACTCTCGGCAACACTAAGCTTCTAAATAAAATTTTCCTAAGACTCTAAGACACTGCATTACCTCTTATGCATCAAATTAACAATGAATATAGAACTTTGTAACCACCTTCTATTCTCTTTTGCACACAAAGTGTCCAACTATAATCATTAGAAAAATCAATGATTAAATATTTCTAACTCTTCACTCCTTTGAATTGTAGACACTTGTAATAGAAGACACTTGTAATAGAAGGAGAATTAGTATCTAGTGCTCACTATCATGACTTTAGACTTCTCCATATTTAACTTCATCTGATTCTGGATATAAAAACTAGCCAAAGTGTATAGGTGTTTCTGTAAACTAATTGCATCATCATCTGCATACAAAACAACTTTGATAACATAATTTCTAAGCTTGACACCTTCATTATCACATGACTCCAATCACTCTTTGATATCATCTATAAAACCTCCAAATAGAGTAGGAGAGAGATGAAAACCTTGAATGATATTCAAAACCTCTTCAATTTGAGAAGTGTTGATCTTGATTGGAAGAGAAGGGTATAATGTGGTCACAACTGCTAGAAAATCTAATGGTACTCCAATGGCTTGCAACCTTTCGCATAAGAGCTCTCAAGTTACAATGTCAAAACCTTTTTTAAAATCAATGAAGGTGCAAAACAAAGCTTTTCTATTGCCTTTAGAATTATTTTATAAAACAAGCAAGACCAATTTATGGTCAATGGTGTTGTATGTAGGGCAAAAGCCTGCTTGAAACCGCGTTGTCTTTCGATGAAATTCAGTCCATGTGCTCAACTTTGATTCCACCAATTTGCCAAACAACTTGGCAAAAACACTACCCACCATGATAGTGCAATAATTTGTCACCAAGTATTTCCTTCTTGACTTATGAATATGAAAAATTTCTCGTAAAGACCAAGTTAAAGGAAAGTTTTACATAGCAGCATTCTCTAACGTTTTAGTGAATATTGGTCCAATAACATCTCATATTCACTTAAAAAAGTTTAATGGAGAGATCATCCAAATCCTCTGATTTATCATTTGCTAATTTGTTGACTTGAGTCATCAATTCTGATTTAGAAAATAAACCAGGTATTCCTTCACGACAAGACATTGATGCAGCGTTGTTAACATAGAATTTGGTGAGAACCATTTGCCGAGCAATCTTGATTTGTGACTAAGAGATATGTGTTGTTAAAATTGTGAATGTCTTAAATCTAAGATTAGATTTAATTTATCAACATCTTTACTTCACAACAAACGTATTACTAAATGTGATTGACATATCAAAATTTTTTTCTTTATACAAGTTTTCACAACGATATAAAGTCGATTGATGATTTACATCCAATGACCACTTCCTTTCACAATTGCGTATTGAAAGACAACATAAGAAGATGCTACTTGATTTTGATGTTGTGTTCTAGTAAACACTTGTCGAACACACAAGATTATACAAACACATACTTACAATACTATAAACCGATATTATAATTTTTACTTGCAAATTTAATCATGATGTGAGATTATGAAACTTGTGAATAAAAGGTTAGATTAAAATAATTCTGTTGTTGCATACTGTTTCTTTTATCATGATGCATGTACATGCTCTTGAATGACCAAACAAACAATTTTCACAATCTAAAATCATCCGGAAGATCTTTGCATTTATTACATTCTGCTCATTATTTTTTTTCTTTGATGTTATGAGTTTTGGATCTCTTAATACAAACAATATAGTCATAAATGAAAATCTTTCAAAGTAATCATCACAATGATAGTCTAGATCACTTCAACAACTTGTCAACATATTATTCAACTTAGCAATTAGAAGTTGAAAATGTTGATGTGTAATAGATGACTACATCATTTAAAAAAAATATGATGTGAGAGCTCTATCAATTTCAAGTGTTGAAGATTAAAAGAGACATACTATAGCAAGGGCTTATTTTGATGGGATCAACACAATAAAAAAATCAAGTGGTTATAGTGATATCTTTCATCATGTCTCAATTTCTAACTTTCATACCTCTAGAAGATGAAACTATTGGAGACCGATATCATTAGCTATGTCTAGATTCGGTTGGAGTATCTTAAATTTATTTCTAGTTTTTTTATTTTGCAGCATTGTCCATGCCTATCTAGTCAACATACATTTGCAAATTGAAGTCAATCGTTTTATCAACTTATTGAAAATATTTTCAAATATCATAGCAAAGGCAAAATCTTTCTAGTTGGGAAAAATAATGCTCGCACACGTTTTGCTTAATATATAAAATACAATGATTTTTTGAATGACCCTTTTTAAAAAGCACGAGAATAGTTTGTGCTCTAGAAAGTCTCTAGATCTATCTATAAATCTTATAGTATAGCATTTTTTAAACATTTGGAGTCATTAGTTACTTGACATCTTTTAATGCAAAATTCTCACTTTTCCTACTCTTATTTCAATACGTGTTCCTTTTCTACAAGCGCTAGCACTTTCAATTATCTTATGTTCTCATCCGCTAATAGCTCTTTTATTTCTACATATGATATTTTTGAAACTTAGCATGAATCAGATCATGTAACTCTTTTATTTATTCTTTCATTGTCAAAGTCAATTACTTTCTCAACATATAATTTTTTTTTCATTTTTCAATTTGTGTTTGGATTATGGTAAAAAAGGTCTTTATATGATAAATTTACAAGCTCTTTTGATTTGCATTGTATAAAGCCCAAATTCACATACAACTAGTTTTTAACCAATCAAATGGTTCAAAAACACTACATTTAAGTTCTTTTTTGTGGCTTAGGAAAAGAAGTAATAGGAAGCTACCTTCTAATGGATGGTTTGATTTTGAATGCAAAAGAACAAGCAAGAACAAGATCCGTAGATAAATCTTTGGATTACCAGAGTCCTTTATTATGAAGAAATTTTACAAAAACTTAGTGAAATTTAAAAAAGAAACGTTTTTGCGACGCAAGCAAGAGGTTTTGACAAGAAAGTTGCAATATGATGTCAAATCATATTGAAAATGATTAGTACTGTGATTCAAAACCTATTCTTGATTCCAAGTTTTTGATTTCTTTGATTTGTGATTTTTTTTTTATATCAAAATGATCTATTTACTCCCTACGCTACATTCATGATATGTTTTTTGAGTAATATGTGACCTATTATATGAAGCATAGGTGATGATTCAAATTAGAATATTAGCATATGATAAATATGAGTATTTGGATGATATTTCTATCAAATTTTTGAAACAAGCAGAAATTTGTATTGTATCACTTCTCATTAGAGTATTGGAGTTTGCTGGTAACTTTGATAATCCTTCAAGTTGGTTGCTACAGAAGATTGTTTCTATTCAAAAATCAAGATGAAAAGACTTGATGATAAACTATTGGGTAGTGTTTTAGCCAAGTTGTTTGGAAATCAAATGAGTTAAAGT